GGCATTAGGGAAAGGAGTGAGTTTATAGAATGAAAATCGACCCTGTGGCATGCAGTTGTGGCGGATGAAGGGACTAGGCTCTAGGGTTAAGGGGCGTGAGACCTAAGGTTGAGGGTTACGTGACCCAGGGTTTAGGGTTGCGGGCTTGAAGTCTAGGGTTCAGGGTGAAGCTTTAGGGGTTTATTGTGGGATGACAAGTGATGGCTGCAGATCTGATCTTGAGAAACTGGCACCCCCAGGTAAATTATAATCCCTTTAGGATTATTGGATTTTAGGGTTTAGGGTTTAAGGGTTTAGGGTTTAGGGTTTTAGGTTTAAGGGTTTAGGGTTTAGGGTCCCTTGTAAAATTGACTGGTTCTGAGTTGCTTTGAGGTCATCTGTGTTGCTACCCTAGCTAATGCAGCTCCACTTGCTTGGTTTCGTTTCCCGCGCTCTCAGAGGTATGAAGCAAATAAAGATACCTTCCACGTTGCAGTTTCAACAAATTCGGCCATGTTTCTTGTGGGCTTTGTCTTTCAGCCTGAGAACCCTAAAGTTCTGCACCCGCCCTCTTTTGCAGGAATTTCCAGCACAGATGTTAGGCGATGCTTGGAGACGTTCTGCGTTAGGCTTTTGAATCGCTATGATGAGGAACCTCCATTATTCATTACGTACCCACTGGTACCTGAATTTAGATTCCTTAACATCAAGCCCGTTGATTTGGGGCTCAATGTCGGTTTGGGCAAAGGGCAGCTCCACTACTCTTAAGCGGCAGGCTGCCTTTTGATCTGCTATGCGAAGGGCTTGAGCTTGAGGGTCTAGGAGGTTATATAGGGATATTGCCAGGCAAGAGCCCTTCAAGGACTACTCATCTTCTGGGGCCTGTAGGCTTTAGGCTTTAGAGTTTAGGGTCTAGGGTTTAAGGTTTAGGGTTTAGGGCCTATCCCATGTCAGAAGAATTTCCATTCAAGACACAACTCTCCCGACGCGATGATGGTTCAGTCGTTGAGCCATGGACTATAGATGCGAAAGCCTAAGCCCAAAGGGACAACGACCCAGAAATTATCCGCCCCTATCCCTAAGCCACATAAATTCTTCTAGAACTGCTATCTATCCCTGTTCTAGGAGCCCCTCGCTTGCCCTCCCTCGCTTGCCTTGGCAGCCTTAGGAGAGTCAGTAGAAGCCACCTGCAGGTGTGTAACTCCTGAGTGTTATTATCGTTCTTATTCTCTTTACTGCTATTGTTACCATTGCTGTTATTGTTACTGTTCTTATTGTTGTCATCTTTTTTCCATTGTTTTATTCTTATTACAATTATTCCTATTATTTCTATTAATACGACTACGGGCTTATCTGCTGTCTTCTCACGATTGTATTTCAAGGGTCCCCATCAAAAGGGTCCTCTGGTTTTGGTGGCATTCTTCAAGGATAACTGTCACGGAAGCCGTCCTCCTGTTTGTAACCGACCCGCCTGTAGCAGGATTCTGCCTAACTTGTGCTTTTGCCAGGAGCTAAGGGTTCGCGGTAGGAAACACCGTAAGAAACCCTCAGCCCTAAAACTCGACTCAAATCCTCAACCTGGACCCTGAAACCTAAACTTAAAGCTTTAAGTCCTGAATTAACAAAACCTTAGAACTCCAAACCCTAAATCCTAAACCCCAAGCCCAAAATCCTATCTCCAGAACCCCAAGCCCAAAACCCAAACCCCTCAATCCTACATCCTCAGCCTGAAGCTTTGAAGGACGAAGGACAGGAGGATGATGCCATGGATGCCCAGACCATCGTTACCCAAGAGTCCAGGCAGGGTTTCTGGGGTGCTGTAAGGGTCCCCTTTGAAAAGGTCATAGGAATATGTCGGGTGTAGGGATGAAGATATAGGATTGACGGTTTAGGGCTTCGGGTAGGGACGGCACAAGGGCATAACGTGGGGTTTTCCTGCCTATGGTTCAAGATTTGCGGTATACGGGGTTCACCATAAAAACCTGAGACATTGAAATAGTATATCCCCTTATGAGCCATATATATATATATGTATACATACATGAATAGGTATAGTAGAATGTACCCCACAGCTCTGTCAAAATCAACCAAGCAAGTGTTGGTGTTTATTTTAAACTGTATTCTTCTTCAGCACATCACGGTCCCGCTATAGAGGCCGAATAAACACTACCATCAGGTTAAGGAGGGCTGGGAATGCAATTCAGTTCTTGCAGCCGCTATATCGAGCTGATTTTGGGATGTAATATCTGGAGTGTAGTGTTTCAGATTCTCGGCAGTGAGGTGTCGTCTTGGGGTGTAGGGCCAACCTTCACCCCTAAGCCCTCAAACTGTGGGTGTAGGGTTCGCTAATGTTCGAGACACTTTTTTCCTATCCATCTTTTTTGCCTTCATGCTTTTGCATGTGACAAAAGAAGCGAAGGCGGTATATATATTTGTATATGTACACACACACACATACATGTTAGCTTTTGCTGCAACTTGTCTTCCGTTCGAGCCCTCCACCTCGTGTAAACGGCGATTGGACCCACATGTATCTACAAGCGCTCTAGGCATGCTTTTTTCTAGCATCACATTGCTTCTAGGAGGTTCAAGGATGCCCGCGCTCGCAAAGCCTGTCCGTACTTTGTTTGAAAGGGCATATCATACCTCCTCATACCCTTGTTTTACGTGTTGCCGTAGGGGAGAGTGACGCAAGTTAAGCATTTCATCTTGAATCCTGCATGAAGCCCTCTTTCACCACAATCCCGACAGCCTGGACCCTTGGACGCTACCCGAATCCTTAAACCTATACCTTCAGCCCTGAACCCTGAACCTGAAGCCCGAATCCCTGAACGCTAAACGTCATGCCTGAATCCAATGCCAAAGGCCTAGACGCGATGAAGCGCAAACCCTTAACGCCCTCAACCCCGAACCATGATTGCCTGAAACCCCGAACCCTTATCACCTAAATCCTCAACCCTAAACTCTATATAATCCCCGATGATACTCCCCTATATAACCCCCCTTTAAGGAGTCCCAAGCGTTGAAGGACAGCCGGTGAGAAGCTGGTTGGCTTCCTGGAGCGTGCAAAGACAGAGAAGAAGGCCCTGGATGGTACTTGAAGCAGGGAAAGGACAGGGGCTAACTGTGGTCATTAATGATTCATTCTTCCGGCTTATAAGGGTTCTACGTACACGTAATAATCCCCAAAACACTCCAACTAGAAGTTGGCAGACATGCTTGACATTTTGTTATGGTTTCCCTAAACCCTAATCCCTAGATGCTAGACCCTAAACCGGCATAGGGTTTAGCAGGCTTAGGGTGTAGGAGATTTGGGATTTGGGTGGTTTGGGGTTTAGGGTTTTCAGGGTTTTGAGTTGAGTGGATTCGAGCTTGAGGGTTTGGGGTTTAGGGTGTTTGGGTTTCCACAGGTGTTGGGTTTCATCATTTTGCTGCTGCTGCTGCTGCTGCTGCTGCTGCTGTTGCTTTTACTGCTCCTTCTTTCGCCGACATTTTTGGTCTTCATTTGTGTTATTCTTGTGTTGCACTGCCTTTTATGTGTCGTGATAATTGAATTTGAGGTTCAGGGTTTCACAGGAGTGGGGTGTAGGCATAGGGGCTGCGGAGGTTGAGGGGTCTGTCTGTTTGTTTTGGAATGGCGGCAACCCTAAACCCTAAACCCTAAACCTAGGGTTTGAGGCACAGGGTTCAAGCATTTCATTCTTTTGGCCTCGGGCTGGGAGGTGTTCGGGCTCTGGAAGCTTTCAGTTTCCACCATTGGGTAGGTGTACCGAAAGCATATGGCAATAGAGCATGGCACACAGTTAACCCAGAGAAGCCAACATTCCTGAGGAGGACAAATTGGATTTTGGGTGGTGGAGGGTGTTTAATATTATGGGCGGAGGTCATCAGATGATTGATATTTCCCTCACCCAACTTGACACCCCCTAGCAATGCATATTCCATATATGGTACCTTTACCTTGTCAGTGATATAATGAACTACAAGAAAGTACATATATACGCATATGTATGTATCGTATGTACGTATGTATCGGATTTTCACAAATTTGAACAGCGTCCTCAGGTGACGGAAGCTGGCCCAGAAATGGCGGTTATCTGGGTGTCCGACAATTATTTCGGGGTGTACTGCAATTGTAGGGATAATGGAAAAGAACATGGAAACTACTATTAAGGGTTTAGGGCTTAGGGTTTAGAGTAGAAGTGCTAGAAAGGAATAAAGGCAGCCACCATAGTTGCTCGGGCTTCGATAGTGGCTGGCTACGGCATGAAGGCATGCTCCAGTGCCATGACTGTGTTCATGCAATGCATTTTCCGTTACCAGCGACTGTCAACTAGCTACATGGTTAGGTCTAGGGATTCGGGCAGAGTGGTAGCCAAAATTCAATTCGGTCTCTTTGAGGCAAAGAGCCGTTTAGAGGTAGTTATGTGGACAGAGCTCCAAGAACCAGTTTCGGTCCCTGACCCGGGTCATGCTAGACATTTGAGGATCTGTGGGGGTGAAGTCTTCTCCATCAGGGCCAGTTTCCCGACAGAAATCTGCTGTGCAAACCCTGAACCTGAGACCCAAAACCACTGAGGCCTAAACCCTAAGCACTGAATTCCAACCCATGTAGACCTGCTGGCTGCAGCCGAAGTGGCTCAAACTAAATTCAAACACACCAGCAGCACCCTGAGATTCAGCCGTCACCTTTGGAAGGTATTGCAGGTTACCAGAGAACACGGTGCCGTGGTGGAGATGCTTTCACTTTTAGGGCTCAGAGGCAAGGGCTGAGGGCGAAGTTCCCCAAGGAGGAAAGGGAGAGCTTTATAGGTGACAGTTCCGGCTTTTGATTGTGTAGATAATGGAAAAGAAAATGGAAGTTACTATAATATATTGGGGTTATATAGGGTTTATATAGGGATAATGGAAAAGAAAATGGAAGCTACTACTACTAGTTGCGCTGCCTGTGGACTTGAGAGCCATAGGCGCTCTTGAGACGTCCGGAAGCCTGTCTGAGCTAGACGCTTCGCACGTCGACAATGAACCACGACTTCCGCGAGAGGCCCTTTGCCGCACCGCAGCCATTCCACGATGATTTGATTGTGAAATCAAACGAGGTTTCCAGATTCTGGCTTTTTTTTTGTGGGGTTCCTGAAGAATTTTGCAGTGCAAGGGGGATCAAAAGTGACGTAAGCTGACAAGTGCTCATTGTGATTCATTGGTGTATCTTCGTCAGCGCGAGGCTGTGCTGTGCGGGCCGGTTCAGGGTGGCAAGCCAAAAACATGAGCCTGTAAACCCTACACGAGCCATAATCTAAACTCATTAAAGGGGGTTATATAGGGGATTTTATAGAGGACTATTGCAGGGGTTAAAAAGTGGGTTATTAGGAGTTCAGACTATAGCTCACATGGGAGATTCCTTCAGTAGGGGGACCCCAAGATAGACTCCCAACTATTTCACTTCTTGTTATAGGGACCTACCCCTAAACCCGAAACCCTAAACCACTTCTTGTTATAGAGACCTAGCCCTGATAGTAGGAGCCCCCCCAAATCTGCAGGTGGACAGAGGATCTCTGGGACTGGGGCCACCTGGCCTTTTTCAAAATGGGGGTTTCCCATAATTAGGGGTACCTTTTTGGGGGTCCCTATAATAAGGACTATAGTATTGTTGGGTCTATATTGGGGTCCCCTTATTATGGGAAACTACCAAATCAGCACAGCGAAGGGTTTATGAGGGTTCAGAGTTTAGGGTTCATTAGGGCTTGGATGGGAGTCTGAAAACCTTCAAGGATTTTATATGGTCCTCAGATAATTCCTAGTTTGTGGCCTTCGGAACAGTGCACTTAGTTTTGGACACCCACACTTGGGGTTTAGGGATCAAGGAAGCTCAGGCTTTTAGGGTTGAGGTTCTGGGGGGGTGGTGAAGCTCAAATCTGATCAGCAGGGAAAGAAGGAATGGACAAGACAATGGCAATTAGCATATCATTGCTTGTTGGGAATTAAGTGAGATGACTGCTGTAAGGAACCATTCCTTCCCCCCCTGCGAAGCAGGGGTAAGTAAGTAATTACCAATATCTTGGGTTCCAGGGTCCTTGTAGAGGTCTGGTAGAGGGTCCTCAAATAGACCCCGAGATGATATTGGGAATTGTTTCGGCCCTTAGAATGAGCGCGTCAGGATCCGAAAGGGTTTCAGGCCTGGGTGGAGAGCCATAGCTAGCACCTAATGCAGATATGGCTCAACAGAAGACCCCCGCAGACCAACCCGTATCTTTCTATTGAGACGCGTCTGAAGCCACACCCACGCGCGCACTACTGATCAATCTGTATCACTGACTGACTGTTAACGGAGGAATGGATCCCTGTAGTAGCCACTGTATCTTCTTTTCCTTCATTTCCTGCTAATAACGTTACGCCTTTGCCCTGAACTTACTAACTTACCTTTGGCAGGCTTTGGGCGCACATCCATTTCTGTGTACGAGTCTGAGACGGAGCTCTACGAGTCTCAACTGATGGTTTGAGGATTCAGGGGTTGGGAGTTTAGGGTCCAGGGTTGAGATTCTGGGGGTTAGGGCTTAGGGTCAGCATAAGGGTTGGGGCTTTGGAGTTGGGGTTAAGGTACACTGCTAATTTGGGTTCTTGGGCGAAGGCTTAATACAGTTTCTCATGGCGGATGCGGGACCTGCGAATTGATGTTTGTGGCTCTGTGAGGGGTTTGACGGACTGGCCTGTGTAGGTAGCATGCAAGGCTTCATGTGAAATTGGAAGCTCCCAAGAAAAAGCCTTCCTCCCCTAGTCCTAGGGAAAGTGCTGATGAACCGACACCACAGCGCCTTGTAGGACCCTTGTCTGTCATGGGAAGCATGTAGTCTTGGTCGCAAGGCAGATCATTGATCAGCATTGAAATGAGTCGGTCGCGAAGACTTACCGTCCAAAGTACCAGGATCTTGCTGAAGCAGCCCCCAAACTTGTAGACCACCCCGTGCTATGAATCTTACAGATAAGTTTAGGAGTTTGTGCTGGAGATAGATGTGTTGTAAGGACGCCGCCATAACCCTGAAGCTTTTGACACATTTTGTAAAGCAGAGGTCTTGAGGCCAGCAACCTGAAACCCTGAACCCGCGAAACCTTGAACGCTGACCTTTAGCCCTTCACCCTCCGCCCTGCCATCCAAACCCCAAGTGCTGAAAAGCCTAGACCAAAGAAAAAGCTGCTCGGGATGCAATCCAGTAGCTTAAGAGCATTGCTGCTTGAGTGTAGGAAGTAGAAAATGTTCCTCGGTTCAGCTGCCTGAAGCACACCATCCCACCCTGACGCCCAAAACCCTCGACCCCAAACCTTCCAAAACTACCACCACCAAACCTAAAACCCTAAACCCGAAGCCCTAAGCCCTAAACCCTAAACCCCTAACCCTACACCCTAAACCCTAGACCCTCAACCCTAAACCCCTAGACCCTCAGCGGCGTTATTCAGCCGAGGCATGGCAGCATTGGGAAAGGCCGAGCCTTAGCAGCAGGATGTCCAGCCAGCTGTTATTCGGAGGGACCCCTAGGGAGGGTTTGGGAATTGGGGTGTAGAGTTTAGGGTTTGGGTTTAGGGTTTAGGGTTTGGGGTTTAGGGTTTGAGTTTAGGGTTTGGGGTTTAGGGTTTGGGAGTCCGGGTTTAGGATTTGGGGTTGAAGGTTAGGGTCTGGGGTTTATGGTTTAGGGTTCATTAGAGTTCCCAAATGCCCCTGCAAGAGGGATACCCCAATGTAGACCCCAAATCATCATATTCCTTCTTATTGGGACCCTGCTTGAAGTTTCATGAGACCTAGTAATCGCCATCCAATTACCCCGGCAAGTCCAGCTAAACGAAGTTGTAGTCCATGGCATGCGAGACCCCTTGTCCGTTAGGGTCCCCTGTATGTATTATAGCCCCATCATATACCCCACAAGTTATTGGCACACGGGATTTAAGATTTACGGATTTAGGATTCAGGGGTTTAGGGCTCTAGGAGTTTTGGGTTTAGTGGCTAAGTTACACGAGACTTGACGCCCAAGCTGCGATGTCGCGAAACATGGTGCCGGACCCAAACAGCAAAACATCAAAGCGCAAGACTTATAACTTCAAACTTGGCTTCTAGATCTACTTACAACCCTTTTAACGTGACTGCCCAGTTGTGAGTGGTTACGAAGTCCCATGAACCTGCAAGTACAGGGATCCTCTAAGCTCCTACCTTGTATACGACATATGCGGGAGCCCTTCTTGGGAGCCCTTATAAAAGGGGTTGTGTTATATGGGGTGTTATTTTCGGGCATTTATTTATGGAAACCTTCGTGTGTAGTACCTCCTACATACCTGGGTAGTCTCCGTATTGCCACCTGAAGCTACAAGAGCCACCAGGCAAGGGGTGTGGGGCCTCCTCTTATGTCGAATGTTTAGACGTTCAAGGAAATGTAGCGATAAGGAGGGCTTAGTACTTAGTGGTAAATCGTCAACCCTAAAACCTAAACCCTAAAACCTTACCCCTGAAGTTCCAGCGGGGGCGAGGGCCTTTGGAAGCTGCGATTACCCAGAGTGACCTCGTTCAGAGATAGCTACCCTAGCCAGCAAAGTTGTGTCCCCCCAAACTTGTTGGGGCTTTAGTATAGAATGGAGAAGGAGCTCCTTCTGGTAGACACTTCATAGCCCACAATAGTATAGTAGCTTCCATTTTTTGATTCCTTTATTCCCCGCAGGGCAGCTAAAGCCCAGCTCCTGGCTTCAAACCACCCACTTCCCCTCCTCCAAACAAATATGGAATCCCATGTAGCCTCCGTTTGAAGACAATTCTTTATAGGACCTTTTTTGGGGGTTCCAGATTCTTTTGGGGGTTTAAAAGCCCTAAGCTCCTCAGTCCCACACCATGGTTCCTCAACCCCAAACCCCTGACTCATGTATGAATAATCTTCATAGCACTCAACTATGAAACATAATCCTACTAATAATCTGAATCATAATATAATGTACATAGGACTATTCAGAAATCGAACCCTAGGCCATATTGGTTGTTGCGTTGAGGTACGTGGTGGTTTGGCTGCATGGCATGCATCAAGGGCCCGCCGATGCCGGGACACTTCGCAAAATCCAACGCAGGCTGGACGCTGTATGTGAATTTAGGGTTTAGGTTCTTTAAGGTCCACGGTTGGGGTTTAGGGTTTAGGGTTCCAAGGTTTAAGCTTGGGGTTTAGGGTCTGAATTGCTGGTCTCTACAAGGAAATAGCATCGGCAGCACTGTCCGTCTGGCTGGACGATGTACCTTGTCGACCTACAATCAACGGCCGTCAAGGCAACACTGGAGCCATTGTTCAAAGGGTGTCAGGGGCTTTAAACTTACGAGCTTCTTAGGTGAGTTGTTACTTCTTGCTGTATGGCATCTTCTTCCAAAAAAGCCGAGAGGCTGGTAGCTCCAAACCGGCAATCAAACAGAAAAAGCCTGATCGGCATCGTGAAGCCCAAGCCCCCAAGCCTCGACCTCACGGTTTAGGGCTTAGGGTCTAGGCCCTAAACTAGACATGCTGAACTTTCTCTGTTCCGGGTCGCCTGGGATCTATCCTACAGCATGTCCGTGTTGGGGACACGTACCGCTGACCACCAAAGCCTAGCTCCTAACATCGTGAACCATAGCCATAGGTGTTGTTGATATTTCTGACTAGTACGTGTAGTGTTGTGCTTCGCTAGGCTCTGGCGGCGAGTGATCTTTGTCGTGCCTACCAACCCGGAGCCAACCGATGACGGATGCCTAGCTGAATGTTTGCATGTTTTGGGTCGCTACTAAGCAACCTCAAGTAAGTTACAATAATGGCTAAATATGATATCAAATACGGTTTCTCCAACATAGTAATTTAAGTTCCTTAACCGTAATCCAGTTTTTGTTGAGTGGTTGTTCCATTCGTGAGCCCTAAGCCCTACATCCACCCCGAGACCATACAACACACCGCGCCCAAGTGAGTAAGAATCATGTCCAAACAATTGATCCAACTCAGTACTGCCCGCAACTTGCCTTCCTCGGAGTGTAGGGCCAGAAAATGTGCGGGGCTCATGGTCAGGAAGGTCCTGCAATATTCGGCTTACTCTCCCTTTCCTGGTTAGTTCTGGTTCGCAAAGGTTTGGCTTTGAGATCTTGCACTGCTAAGGCCCAAGCCCCAAACCCCATTATAAAGCTTATTTAGGAAACCATGACTGCTTCGTTGCTGAGAAAAATTCGTGCCCTTGGATCAAGAGTTTGAAGACGAAGGTGGGTCGACACGAAAATCAGAACTTTGTCTGCAATCAAAACCCCGAAACGTATAGCACTGTTGCAGGGCACCGTCTGGACAGCTTGTCAACTCGAGTGGGACCTTACAGCCCCCTTCTGAATTGCCATACATCCACATCCGAGAATTCTTGATGTAGTTCTAAGAATCAAAAGCCCTACTCAATACTCCCTAGCCCCGATTCCAGAAACCGTGCCATGCATGTATATGTCTGCTATAGTCTAAAAGCCGAGCATCCCCCTTATTAAGCCTTGAAATAGTCCCCTGTATCGTCCCCTATAAGGAGTTTAGACTATAGCTCATATGTGGACATCCCCAAGATCCCTAACCCCAGACCCAAAAGACCTTGATCAAGAACCCTACATCCCCAAACTGAGGAATGCACTTCAGTTGGGGATGCACCTTCACCAAGAAGCAGAACAAGCAGGTGAGGGGTGCAGAGTGCATGGCCCGTTTGAAGACCAGGCATTTCCACCGGCCCTTCGAAGGTGATAATGAAGAATCAAATGGAAAAGAAAATGGAACATGAAATGGAAACAGGGGTTATCTGGTAGTTTCCCAATGATTTTATCAGATTGCTTGCATGCCCATGTGGGTAGGATTGTCTATGCAAAATACTTTCGAAAGCTGCAGAGGGAAGCAGACCATATGGTTTAGGGTTTTGAGGGAATAGGGGCTTAGGGATTAGGGTGTGGGGT